TTTGTCACGACCCAATTTAGTATTGTGACCGGCGCTTAGGAACAAGTGCTCCCAAGTAAGCCTCATCGGTAATTTTACAGAAAATCGGACAGAGTTTCCTTTGTTTTTGGACCATCCCAAAATTTTTCCTGTCTCAAATCAACAACCAAACATCCTAATATCATACCAAATAATTGACAACTTGTCAATTAACCAATACAAGTCTCCACCATAACTAAACCACCAACTAACCACTAGAAATACTAATTTATCTCCAACTTTGATAAATGAGATTGATAGTCAACATAAGACTATAATAACAAAAGAATACTCACGACACTAAAATAATGACTATGGAGCGACTCTAAGAGTTCAATGAAAAGACCATAACAATAAATAAAATCTCTGCCCACACGAACAAGTGCGAGGCTCATCGAGAAATATCAACCTGTGCGCTCTAATTAACAAAATCCTCGCCTGCGTCAACTCCTGTCTCTGTAAAAAAAAATTAGCGGGGAATGAGTCGCTAGCTCAGTGAGTAATAACACTTAACCACAACCGTTTTTATTGGGGATAAGTCAGAAAACATGCTAGTATATCAAACAGAAAATAACATAAAAATGCCCTTTCAGAAACAATGAATAATTTTCAGTCTCGTCATGCTTTTCTTGAAGTATAATACAATTAACAGTTCGGTAATAAGCTCGGTAACCACTGTTTCTAATATCAATATTCACATTTGGGAGGTTTCAATGAACGGATCATGTAATCGGTATAACTGTGGACTTCTTCGCAAGAAGTCAAATATAACGGTAGTCCCTACTCGAGGGAAATCGATAACGGTATGCTAGTTCTACCTTCCCACTAGCGAGGGCTATAACTGTACTCTGTAATCGGTAAATACAAGGTGTACCAGGTCTAACGAACCCGGCGTTAGCTACGGGATCCTTCAAAGTCTCCTCCCATTTATACTCTTTCTTGTAAACAGTAGATACTCGTACAAAAGCATTTTCAAAATAATAAAGGGCATATCGTTTCTTATCAAATCTTGTAATTTTATTTCGGTAACGGTAATCATGTCTCAAGTAACAGTAAAACATGTCTAGTAACAGTGAGAATAATTCAAATAACTGTAACATCTCAAGTAACGGTAAAACATATCCAGTAACGGTAAGAACGTTTAGATTAACTGGTAAAAAACTCAAGTAAACTGTTCGGTACCATATCAAGTAAAGGACTTGTCCCACATGCAATTTCAAAGCATCGTTAACACATTTATTTTCAAAATCATATATAAACCATGCAGGTTATGAAAACACAAATTGTGGTAAGATTACTACTCACAGTACTCGTGCCGAAATGCCAAATACTTCACCTCGAGCAATTCGTACAAATTCCTCCAATCAATCGGAAGTAAGATTTCAAGTGTTGGCTTCAAAATAACGAAATGCTTTTGAAACCTAAAACCCTTCTCCAAAAATTATTTGCTGCGAGAGGAAGACTATGCGGTATGCCGATACCAAGCTACTATTTATACATGTAAAAAGAAAAAACCTAGGCATTTGATTCCTATTCAAATTGGGTCTCTTCGGTTTTCATAGCAGACATGGAAGTCATATGTAGCTTCCATAATTACCATCCTAATCCTAATTAAGATAGAACACTAGAGTCGGCGTACTTCTCCTTTCCACTTTCCTTTGTTCTTGTTCTCTTTTATTTTTCCTTTTCTGTTTTGTTTCGTTTTGTGTCATTTTATTTTTTTTCATAGTTAGTTTCTTATACTTATTATTAATATTATTATAATGGCCAATACACCCTTTTTTTTACAAATGTAGGGTATTACATCCACCCGACCTTATGAAACTCGGTCCCCGAATTTAACTTAAGTACGTACCTGTAGATTTAGACAAATAGGGATACTTCGCTTGCATATCTTTTTTTGCTTCCCAAGTAGCTTCTTCAACGGTATGATTTCTCTATAAGACTTTAACAAACTCAATTTCTTTTGACCGTAGCTTTCTTACTTGCCTATCAACAATTGCCATCGGCTCTTCCTCGTAAGACAACTTCTCATCAAGCGGTATAGCAAGGGCTTCAATTATCTGAGATGAGTCTGATATAAATTTCCTTAGGATTGAGACATGAAAAACTGGATGAATAAAGGACAACTCAGGAGGAAGTGCCAAACGATAAGCCACAACTCTCACTCGGTCTAGTATCTTATACGGTCCTATAAACCTGGGGCTCAGCTTGCCTCTTTTCCCAAATCGCATCACACCTTTCATGGGAGAGACTCGTAAGAACACTTTGTCTCCAATTGTGAACACTAAATCTCTTCTTCTCTTATCAGCATAAGACTTTTGTCTACTTTGAGCTATAAGCAATCTCTGTCTGATCAACTAGACTTTGTCCATAGCTACTTGTACTAAGTCGGGTCCCAATAAGTTAGTCTCACCATCTTCAAACCATTCGATAGGAGAACGCATCTACTCNACCTTTGCCCAAAGCTTTCTTCTTCTTCTTCTTCTTCTTCTTCTTCTTCTTCTTCTTCTTCTTCTTCTTCTTCTTCTTCTCCCCTTTTTTTCCTCTGAAACCCGCTGCTTTGTTCTCTTTTGCGCAGCTTGCTGCTTTCCCCCTTTTAGTTTGTTTCTAACGTTTTCCGGAGAATGAGCTTTGTGCCCTTTTAATCCTTATTCTTCTCTTTTTTTTTTTTGGTCATGACATGGGCTAAGCCCACTTTTATTCTATCTCCTTTTTGCTTTGTTTATTTTGTTTCATTGTTTGCTTGTTTTTTTTTTTTAGTTACTTTCTTATTATTATTATTATTATTATTATTATTATTATTATTATTATTGTTATTGTTATTATTATTATGACCAATACACCCTTATTTAAAAAATATAGGGTATTACATCCTCCCCATCTTATGAAATTCGGTCCCCGAATTTAAATCAAGTACGTACCTGTAGACTGAAACAAATGGGGGTACTTGACTCGCATAGTATCTTCTATTTCCCAAGTAGCTTCTTCAACTGTATGATTTCTCCATAAGACTTTCATGAACACGATTTCTTTTGACCGTAGTTTTCTTATTTGTCTATCAACAATAGCCATTGTCTCCTCCTCGTAAGACAACTTCTCATCGAGTGGTATAGTCGGTGCTTCAATCACCTGAGATGAGTCTGATATAGATTTTCTTAGCATTGAGACGTGAAACACTGGATAAATAAAGGACAACCCAGGAGAAGTGCCAAACGATAAGCCACCGCTCCCACTCAGTCCAATATCTCATACGGTCCTATAAACCTGGGGCTCAACTTGCCTCTTTTCCCAAACCGCCTCACCCCTAAAAAACAACATTACATTGATTCACTTAGTATTGATCAAAAGTTCAAAACAACATTCAATATATGAAATGTTGTAAACCAGTGAACGAAATGTGAAGGCGACATTGAACAAAAATATGACTGTTTAGGTTTTTTTAGAGGAATAAATACGGTCAGGTATGGTGGGTCGATTTAGGGTTGGGTAAATTGGATTCTAACTTTTTCCAGGTTCTTAATTAGTAGGATTTTGGACATAAAAATTATAATTTTTGAAAAGAATTAGTATTTGGAGTTAAGTTGAAAAATGGTATTTGACATTTGAAATTATGTTTGGACATGCTTTTCACTTGAAAAAAAATATTGCAGATTTGTTAGCTGGGAAAAAAGGTAACATTTTGAAAAAGTGGTCTTTTGAAAAACTCGTTTTAAAAAAATTTCCAAAAAAAAAACTTGCAAAATTTTATAAATACATTTTTAAATATTGCAGATTTCTTTAAATAAAACTTGCTACATCATTAAATCTCACCGAAAAATATAAAATTTGGTAAAGAAGACCATTAAAGGTAATTAGATAAAGTAAAGTGATTTTTAAAAGACAAAAATAATTGATGACTTTAATGACCAATTATCCAATATTAATTGACCATCTAAACAATCTAACTCTAGAAAATTATAGCGAGATGTGTATGCCTTGTACCGGTGTACGCATAGCTGTTTTCCTGAGAGGACTTCAAATGCATCGGATTAAAGTTCTGTTGAGACAACATTAAGTCAAAGTATAATAATAATTGGATCAACCAATAAGTATTGGCTTTCGATATATATATATATATATATATATATATATATATATATATATATATATATATATATATATATATATATAAAGAATTAACCTAAATAGCTGCACATTCAACAGCTTAAATTAGAGTTAGGGATTAAATATAATTCATGTATAATACTTCAATAAGTTAACCAAAAAACCTATATGGCTACCGGAACAAAAAAGGCATTAGATCGATATGTACAAAAATCAAGATTTTCAACGTGCAAACGACGTACGATACCGGTTGTATTAGAGATTGGAGAATGTGGTGTGAAGCTGACGAGTCTCGAGTTGAAAGAAAGACGAATATTTTATGTGTTAGATATATACAAGGAGCAAGGAATAAAACTTTTATATATGCACTAACAGGGAAAAGGAATCCACACGAGGCACGAGTAGCACTAATTGTACTAGTATGATTTGGTGTAAGTTTTGACTGAACATGAATCTGTTCGAGTAACGACGAAATAATGTAAGTTCAAGTGCTCTCCTTTTTGAGTTGTTGTTATTTGTCTAATTATAATTATAATTTTCTACTTTATCAAATTTGTAAAAGATGATCTTTTATGTGATTTTCATATATTTTCCATATATTTAATCTAATTATTCAAATATATTCCATCAATATTTACTACTACTATATACTTTGAAAAGAAAAAGATGAGTGGTAACATTGCACTAGCTAGCTTTTGCCTTTTAGGTGAATTTACATTACATTACTCTAAAATGTTTCAAAAAGTGAAAGGGTTCTTGTTTGTCCAACTGGGAAACGGTTAGGGAGATCGATTGAAGTTTATTCTTTACTATCAACGCGAACAGAAGTAACAAATTGGAAACAACATCAGTTAGTATACTATTGCAGATCCTGGTGGGGTGTAATATACACTGTCAGTGTAATGATACATCATTTATTCCCTCTTCAATGGAATTCATAAAAAACCTTCCCATTTTTGTTAAAGTCCACATCAGATGGCCGCTATGAGGACTAGTAGAGGAACAAAAGGCCGACTATTAATGTACATTGATCATTCTGAACAAGATAACTAGTTGCACAGCAACTTTTACAAAATTTCCTAACACATTCATTTTTTTTTTCTTTTTTGTTCTTTTCCTGTACAGTTTGCATACATTTACAAGGAGGAAAGATGTCATGGCAGATACTCTTGAAGACACTCTTTTAACTTTTGGAATGTAACTGGCTTTGATACAAAAGAGTCCATACCATTTGCATAACACTCTTCTGCACTTTCTGATAATGCATTGGCTGTCATCTGCAATAACGTACGTAAACGAGTTTCATCAGTAAGCAGCAAAGAAAGGATTGCATGAAACGACGAAAAAACAAGGAGGCTAGCCACATAAATGTCCTAGTATTTGGAAGCTTCAATATCTTAGGAATAGCCTGATATTTTTTTTCATTTGCATAAACAGCTATGCATTTAGTGTTTAGACTCTTACTGCAATGACAGGAATCCGCTTCCTGGAGGATTCATCACTTCCTTGTGAAGGAGACACCTCTTCATCAATGCCAGCATCCTTTGCTGCATCCCAGCTACCAGATTCCTCAAATGATCGTATCAATCTTGTGGCTTGAAGACCATCCATGACTGGCATGCACACATCCTGCACAAAATAAAAAATTTACCAATGCAAGTTAGCATTATTCGAGTCCCTGGATAATGTTTGTTACCAAATTTAAGCTGTTAATACATGTAGAGAACAAGAAAGTTTCTGTTTATAGCTACGTCATCTGCTGCAAACATTGGACAAGACAGCACATTGTCATGTGGTGCTACATTTCTTATCTGGATACTGGATTGATTAAGATCTAACCTATATATACTTATGGACTGAGAATGTGCAAGTCCCAAATCTGAAGCTTTTCTTATTTAGATGTTCAAGGACGCTCATTTTAACTGTGCAATAGATTGGATAGTAACATGACCAAGAAACATGCATGTGTAGGACATTAAGTGAGGTATAAGCCACGGTGATACATACTAAAGCTTCGCCAAAAAAGAATCAAACAACATACCATTAGAATGAGGTCATAGCTGTCGCGTTGAACAGCACGCACAGCTTCTACTCCATTATTCACTATATCTATGTCATGACCCAACTGCTTCATCATCGACCGTGTTACCATCACAAGTATTTTGTTGTCTTCTACAAGGAGGATCTTGGGTTTTGCTGAGGTTTTTAAAGTCTTTGCAGCATTGCTAGAAGAGCACTCAGAACTTCTATCAGGTTGTTCCTGCAGCTGACTTTTTTCTATTTTCTCTGTAATTTCACCTTGATCTCCGTTTGCACCAGTGGACGTTAAACAAGGGGTATGGAAGTGATGATCTACAACACCATTACTCGTTTGCTCTCTACCGGACGTGCTTGGGTTGCCAGAATTTCGGGTATGTCTCAACGAAGACTCAGGCTCGGAAGATGTCTCAACAGCATCAGCTACTGAACATGCATCTTCTACTGAACCTGTCTCTTTTGATGTATTGCTATTGGAAGGGAAAGAATAGGAGTTCACTGGCAACCCGTTACTCTTATTCGAAGTGTTAAACCCAAAACCGTTTGCTGATAGTTTTGTGCCTCTTCCAGAACTGTGGGAAGAAAACAAAGAGCCTAAAGTGCGCGGTTGGAATTGGAAAAAGCCAGAATTTATATCATCATCATTTTCTTCGGAAGCAGTATCATGATTGTCTATTTCAGAGAGTTCTTCATTGTCATCCAAATTATCACACACAGGCGAAACCTTGTAAGGTAAAATAAATGTAAAGGTAGATCCATGGTGCTCTTTGCTGGATACAGTCATATGACCTCCCATAAGCTCAGCCTGTTCAATTAAAACATGAGCGGTCATGGTAAGTACTAATATCATAGACACTTCTGCTAAAGTCATGTCACCATAAGTGAAAATTGTTATGCCCAAATTTAATGCACTAAAATGTAGCCATATTTACGGGATCATAAAATGATGCTTGCTAAGAAAAAGCAACTTTATTAATCCAGATGAACCAACAAAACATAAAGGGTTAGGCATTGTAATATAAAACGCCCCATGTCTCAATGTGAGGGATGCAACTTCACAATTTTCCACTATATCAGGAAGTTTAAGGATATTACAACAACAACAACAACATACCCAATGGAATCCCACAAGCGGGATCTGGGGAGGGCACTATGTAGGTAAACCTTACTCCTACCTTGTACGGGTAGAGAGGCTGTCTACGATAGACCCTACGCTCAAGGCAAGCAAAATCACAGCATTAAAGAAGAAGAAATATAGTAGTGAAAGGAAAGTTCAAGGATATTATCATAGATAATGTTATGACTCAAAATACAAGAAAGCTAAATTATCAAAGAATATCGACTTGAATAATAGTTGATTTGTCTATCAATAGGCTCATTCTTTAGTAATTTTTTCATATTATTGAGTAAACACTTCAATTACCAGTTGTTTGCATATTGCCAATCCTAGTCCTGTCCCACCATACTTCCGAGCAGTATCTGCTCCAACTTGCATATATTTCTTGAATAGAGTGGGTATTGCATTTTCTGTTAATCAAGGTAAAACTGGCTTAGCAACAATAGAACCATAATTTTTAAAATTAAATAAAATAAAGAGCCAAGTTATGGCATCATGAATATGCCAATGGACTTAAGTGAGAAATGCAGAGTTTATAAGTACCTGGTATTCCAATCCCAGTGTCGTAAACATCACAACGTATCCACACAGTTGTTTCCTGCTGGTCAGAATCAACCACTTCATCTTCAGTTGGAGCTCCATTTTGTTCTGAATAATTGCACCCCCCATTGAGCATCCGACTTTCATTCGCACCATCAGCATCTTTGCATCCACCAGAGCCTTTCCGAACAAGGGCGTTGTGAGATGGCGATGTACAGTTATCCTCCTTCCATATCTTTGCTGAAACCTTTGAATTATCAGAAGCCATCCTCTTATGGGATCCTTGTTTCACAAGAGGAGATGGCTCGGCAACCACATACAACTTTATACCAACCTTCCCTTCATGAGTAAATTTTATAGCGTTGCTGCATAATATAAAAAACTATTTTAGTGCACCAAAGATAACTGAAAGGACTTGGCATAATGCATTGTAAAGCACATATCAACATCCAGTGGTTGTGTCTCCTTGCAAAAAAAGGAGTTCCAAGAGGATGAATCGGATGAATGAAGCAAAGGTGGCACTTAGCTAAAAACTATAATGATATAAAGAGAAGAAAAATATCAAGTGTTTATGAACAGAAAAGAATTTCTGCTTGCACCAAATTTTGGCATGTTCAAGAAACAGAAGGGTCATGAAAAAAGAAAAAGAAGAGTAGCAGAAGGGTGTACACATTTCATTCCTTTCCACTGCGTAGATGTCTCCCCTTTTCAGAAAATGGAAGAGAAAGACTAAAAGAGAAACCAAAAATGCAGCAGATGTTTGTACTGACGAGCAGCATGAATGGTATAGCACTGTGGAGGCTTCAGCCACTGACAGAACTTCATACCTGATCAAGTTCGTGAGAATCTGGCGAATTCTTAGTACATCCCCGATAACCTGATTTAAGGAGAACTCTTCAGTAGGAAGCAAATAAAAATAAACTAGAGAGATATTGAATAGGGGGGAAAAGAAACAAGTTGTTGGACATGATTTTAGTAGGTCAAATTTCTAAATTTCCAAAACTCTCAACTGCTTCCGTAGAACTTATCTCACCCAAATAATTTATAGAACAGTAGAGGGTTATTAAAAAGTTATTCCGTCAACTGGAAGCTCATCATTGAATGAAAGTAAGGTTTCCCTTCAATTGGATGCTCATCAGTAAATGACAGTAAGGTTTGTCTGGTATGGGCAAAAAAGAACACATAGGATGCCTCTGTCAAATTTTGTTTTGGAATATTAAGCACGCCTGCTTGTCATAATCTTCTACATATTGCTCAAAACTTGAAAGCTCATATTCATGTTTGTATATACGTAGTAGATTGCAGGTGAAGGTATTTCCTACTTTATGTAAAGCAATAAGTAATTTGTCAACGGATATCTTTTCTGAGAATTTTTGCTGTCACGTCTTATAACTGGGACCGAACAATTGGGAGAAGTTACCATCAATGTAAATAATTCATGGTAGAGCTCTTACCTCAATAGGAACATCTTCAGAGACATGTCCTTCCAAAGTTAGCATTTTCTGTAGTGATGCTGCTGCAGTTTGCAAGACATGCTTTACAACCTCCCTTGGTCGGAATTTTGTGGCTTCCAACTTCATTACTCCTGAAGAAGAATTAGACAATAACTTGCTTTCAGTATGATCAAGTTACTCAAGTATATATAGTCATTTCTGATACAAAATCACTCAGACACTGACAAATGTTGTTCACGGATAATTCCAAAGTTAATTAGCATATCACTCAGACACTTGTGTTATCCAAATACTTACACAGAGAAAATACAATATGCTTTTAGCAAGGTCATTTTGCGATTGAACTATATTCTTAAGCTTTTATCTAGGAGATAGCATCAAATACTTTAGCAATTACTGCAACATAAAAGATAAGAGGAAATGAAATTGAACCTGATTCAACTTTGGAAAGATCAAGGATATCATTTATTAGTTGAAGAACCAAGTCTCCTGAAGATAACATTACATTCACAAGCTGACGTTGTTCTTTGTCCAGTTTTGTGTTAGAAAGAATCTCGGTCATGCTGACTACTCCTGACAAAGGAGATCTAATCTCATGAGACATGGTTGCAAGCATTTGTTTTGCTCGCATCGTCTCCTCTACAACAAATAAAGAAGATAACATTGGCGATGATTATTCTTCCGGCATCTGAGTCCACATATACGTAAAAGCATATAATATGTAAATGAACCTGTTATGTGAATAGTTTTGTTAAGTTCTGTCTCCTTGGCCTTCCGTACAGCTATCTCTTCTCGTAGCTTTGCCATTCTTTCTCTTTTCCTTACCTGCAATTTGATCATTAACATTGCTACTGAGCTTTCATAAATCATTCGCCATAAATACATTGATGATAAAGCTCAAAGAGTTAGCAAAGAGATGTAGAGAGTCTTATATGGAACAGACTTGGATTTTGATAGAAAAGCAGGATTACCAACAAGAGTTACTAAGTAAGAAGTGCAGACCATTGGATTTTGATGATAAAGCTGAAGTTTTGAACAAAAGAATTCAAAATTTCCTCGGAAACATTATAGCCGATACCAACAAGAGCTACTGGTAAAGAAAATTTAACTCACTTGATCAGTTATCTCCATTCCCATATAATTTACACCAATGGTCTCTCCTGCCTTACTGAACACAGGTTCAACATATATTAGAAAGGTCTTTGACCCAAATAGTCCCGTATCGAATGTAATTTCCCTCTTTGCCGGTATTCCTCGCTCCAAAACCTCTCTTTTGAAGTCTTGAGATTCCTTTACACCAGCACCAGTAAAAATCTCTACATCTGTTTTCCCTATGATGTCCTGAAAGATAAGTATGATTCAGGAGAGCATACAACAGATTATATTGTAATAAATGCCAAAGAAATTTCATCAAGGTGAACTGATGAGTTATAAGAAGATACTAATTCCGCAGAATGAGCAACCTTACATTTTTTAAGGAGAAGTTCTAAAGCATACAGTATTATTTAGGGTGAAATACCTCTTCGCGCAAACTTGGGAAATGATTGTAGATAAAACGATAACGCAACTCTTTATCCTGCACCAAAGAATATTGGAGCACTTAGTTTCTTCCAAACATATGATGTCAAAAATTAATATGCCTTTTAAATAGTAGAAGGAAAATGATAAAGAGGTTAAAGAAGATTTGGAAATGGTCCAACTACTGGTAACAAATAAGGACAATTATCTAGGAAACGGCGATTGGGAGAACGAGTAGAAGAAAAATTCACCACCCAATTACATCTAACATCCTAGCATAAAAACTGATCAGATCATTGAAGTATGCAGAGATATCCAATTAAACTTTGTTTCTTGTAACGATTGAGGAAAGGCAGTTAAACTGTTTCGATGCTAACTATGTGTAGCTTCAGTTTCAAGTACAGCCAATTGGACTATGCTTGAAGCAAGGACTTTCTCACACTTGCGAATGATGCAAACAAACAATTAAAGACATTTTGAGTAGGATTTTTCATAGCTAACAAGAAAGAATAATTTCCATTTAAAAAATATATGAAGAAGTAATTCCTCCATTATCTGGCTTAAGTTTAATCAGAAAGGCCATTTTGAAGAAGTCTATTACACAAGCATCAATTGTTAAAACTTCTTTACCTATTTCTGATGATAGTTGGAAATGCATGGTTTTAGTAAATAAGGTAACTGGTATTTAAATCATTAGGACAATGTGAGAGCTTCTTATCTCCCCGGGATGACAGATGGTAGTTGTTAGTAGTGTAGCATATGTGTTTGCAGACTTAGTAACCATTTAACCACATAAGTGGACTGCAGCTCCTATACTTGACTTAGCCATTGTTCGACTAGTATCTAAGGCTCAGGCACAGCTTTAGAAATGACAGTTCTAAAAAGTATGTTACTAGACTTTCGCACCTGCCGTTCAAATGATTTGCGCAACTCATTTACTCTCCAACCTGTTTTCTCTCAACTGTTTACCTAGGCTTGTAGATTAATTAATTAATTGAGTTGCTTATAATGGTGGGGAAGAAAATATCAAATTTATTCACAGAGCATGACTTACGAAAACATCATATCATGATTTGATTATGAAAATCATTGAGGAAGATACAACATGTGTAAAGTTAATACTAGGCAAGAGCAAATGAAGCTGATGTCCCATTAACTCAGAGAACTCTAATAACATACATGATAATGTTCGAGCAGTCAAATTTAAGTGTCCATTCTCCTCGTCCGAAGAAAAACATCCATTTTTGTTGAGTAGCTTTAACTACTACAAGTAGAAAAGGTATAAAAATTCACATACGAAAAAAAAAATGGAAAGAACTAGACTGGAGAAACAATATTAAGAAGAGAAAATAAACCGGTTCGAAGTTTGTAAAAATAAAAGGATGCAACAAGGTAACATCTACAGAACATATAACAAGAAATTGGTAAGCCAATCATTCTTAGAGAAAACTGACCTGGTGGCCTATGACAACCGGTGCATTCTGGAGGACAAAGTGTAAGAAATTATCTGCTCTTTTTAGAACCTGAGATAATTCTTCCACTGGAGAGGACTGCCTTTCAAGTTTTTCTATGCTTTCCTGCAATTTCTCAAGTAGTGTCTGCTCCCTTTGAACGCTCGCTTCCAACAACTTCCCCAAATGTTCAGCTCTCTGCTTCCAGTACTTTATGCTGTCATACTCAGCATCTATTTCTAGTTTGTCTTGAACTCTCACATCATTCCTTTTCCTAGGAACCTCATGGAATATGTATCTCTTCAATTCTTCATCCAATATAGAGATTGGACGCTTATCACCGCCATATGTTTCCTCCTCGAATTGATACTTCTCCAATATCTCCAATTTCTTGAGCTCTGATTCTTGTTGTTGCTTGCTAAGACTATCAAGCTCTTCTCTGAGTAGCCTTACGGCATTTTCCTGTTTATATTCCCAGTTCTTTACCAAGTAGGCCAGCTGAGATGACCCTTTTTCGCTATAATTAGTAAGTTCCGAAAGGCGCATGAAATCAACTATTGTGGAATCCTCATTGATAGTAACCTCCTCCAACATATCTTGATCTAATCCTGGATTATCTATATTGAATCGTTTTCCAGCTTCATTCATATCTTCAGGCCACATCGACGAAAGCATTTCCACTTCCATGTCTATGTCCTCTGCTTGATCACTTTCCATCTCGCAAACCATTTTAGACTTATTCTATGTTACAACCAGAAAGTCAAACTACTGCTAAACTTTACTCTGAGAATACAATTCTCGCATCTGAGCTTAACTTAACTGAATTTTCAATTAAGATCCTCAACACGGAGAGCTATAAAGAGAATGAGAAATTGTTCTATTCGAGATCCTTTTGCTGAACTGCTTAAAAGGGCTGCATACAAAATGGATAAGAAAGATGAGTGTATTCATTCATAATTGGTAAAACCAATGTGAGACTAATGTATCAGTTGAGAGACAAGTGCAACAAAGAGCAAATAAATGAATATACACATAATCAATAGGATACATACAACAAATAAAACCAAATTGCTGGCCAAAAGCCACTACACCTTTCTTCAATAGAACAACTAAAAGCTGAATCTCTCTGAGAAATTTCCACAAGCATTAAGAAGGCTTCATCTTTTAAGATCCAAATATAGGAAGTGAAAAGTGACAGAATCATCAACAAGAATTTTTTCCAGTTTGCTTCATCACAAGTCACCAATGAAAAACTTCAACTTGTCAAATTTTTTGTTTTTACAATAGAAGCTAGTAAAATTTTTGGTGTATCATTGACTTGAAGCCAAAAAAATCTTCTGCAATCAAAAGCTAATGTTAATTGTTGAAGAAACTATCAACAAACTTAAGTTATGCATCAACATGAGCAAATGATATGGGGTGGCAAAAGAAGAAAAAAATTAAATCAACCCTTTATTGCAACCTCCAACAAGAATATAAAGAATACTACAATTCAAGAACATAATTGAGGTGGGACATATATATACTTCATGCCTCAAAGATTAATAATTCAGAAGAGAAAAATTAGCCAACTTGGATTCATCAACTAATTAACTCATAATACAATGAGCAACTCAAAATGCAAACTGAGATCAAATTTCACGTAACACAGATACCAAAGTCAACTAAATGACTTAAAAGTTGTCACCTTTCTTTGTTTTCAAGAATTCTTGAAACTTTCTATTGAACCAGAAGAAGAAGAAGAAGAAGAAGAAGAAAGTTGGTTGAAAATTTTCTGAGCTCCCAACCTTTTACTTTCACTGTAGATCTGAAAGAATCTCTTGAAAGTGCTCAGTCAATGATAAAAATAATACTCCCAGCCTTTGGACCTTTATGAAGAATGTTAAAGGAGACCATGTGAATGCAAAGAGAAAAAACCTCTAAAAACCAAAAAAATATTTTAAAAAACAAAAAATATGTGGAGACCAAACTCAAGAAGCCATGTGCGTTTTGTAAGTCTACTTATTTTCTTATGTTTGTTCCTTTCAATATTTTATAAACAACCCCTCATCACATTTCTCCAAATCCTTCCTTTTATAATTATATGTCTAATTTTTCGGGTTAGATTCATAGTACTCTTTTTTCCATCTAAAATATGAAAATCGAACAACATTCAGTTTTATGAAAACTCTCTTAATTTTCTTTCTCTCTCTTAATTTTCTTTCTCTCTTGTTGTACTAATATTGTTTAAACAAGAAATGAATCAGCTGCTTGCTAGTGACTATAATATAGTTGTATGTTTTTTGTGGTGGCAACTAACTAGACAAAGAGGTGTCTGTGTATTCTGTTTCTTGTTTTTTAAATTTGTAGAAGACGGAGGTTGCTCCCCGCCTTTTACGAGGTGACGTACTTTTAAGGCGCGTGTATCTCACTATCCATCTCTTTGGATGAGTCAGTTTCTCTCTGTTGTTGACTTGTTGTACTTGTACTCCTATATCCTATATATATGTACATGTATATTGTATATATGCGGTGTCCAATGATTAGCTTGAATTTACCCCAAACACCTTGTAGTTTAGGTCTTTTGACACTTCACCCCTCTCATTTACTTTTGCCCATTTACATTTCTTTTTGTCAAATACTAAAACAATATGGAGTATTACAATATCAAAAGAGAAAGATTCTCTTCTATATTGAAAATTACTTTAACAATTAGTCTCAATTTATTCTACTCTCATCGTCTCAATTTATGTGGCCATTTGACTTGGCATGAATTTTAAAAAAGAATACTAAAACAAATCTTAGACATTTCTGTAGGTATAAATCATCTCATTACGGATAAATAAAATTTTTACAATAAAATTATTTTAAATATAGAAAGATTACAATATTTCTAGAACAAATTAAAAAGAAAAGTGTGCCATATAAATCGGACAACTAAAGTTATTAATTTCTCATCATTGCATATCGCGGTACGTAGTTTTCATTATTGTTATTGTACTCTTTTGCATATGCACACATGGTGCCAAGTGATAAAGAGGAATTATGTTAAGATCCGCTTAATTTTTGTTAATATAACCCTTGACACCCTTCATTCCTAATTTACATATAACACTTCAAACCCTTTGATTGATTTTGATATTTAAAATATTGTTGAAAATATTGATTTAGCATTATTTTTGAAACTTTATGACTTGTTAAACCTATTTCACTTTTTGTAGAATAAGTAGGATGTTAAATGTGTCGTGTCTTACACGTAGTTATAAGATGTGCGTGCCTTATAATTAGAGAATTTACTTTTTACATATTGTGCTTGAAGAAAAAATTGAATATTAGGACTTTACTGTATGTTTGTTTGTCAGTACGTACTTAAAATTAGAGAAATTACTTTTTTACATAGGCAAGGGCAAAATAAATATATGCACGTCTTGAAATACATATTAATATCTGGCCCTTTAAGTTTTGGCTTTTCTTTAAATAGGTATAAAGTGTGTGTAAATTATTTTTAAAATGTGGGATATACAAAATAATGTTGTAAAACCTATAGTAATTGTGAATGTCCACTACTCCAACTACTTTCACCTATGATGTAAATAACTTTTCACTACTCATCATTATTATGATTGTAACTCTCACACCTCCGTAACCCCTCCCATGATCTTCCCCATGATCTCAATTGTTAATGTCATGTTTAAGACAATCCTTTTGTAACCTTCTATGTAATAGTATAAATAGAGGCATGAAATGTGATATGCGACACTTGAATACTTGATGAAATAAAAAATTTATCTCTTCTTCTCTTCTTCTACTTATCTTCATGTTTTATATTTTTACTTGAGGTACATTTTTTAATACATTATCAACACGAAGTTGTGCTCTTTTGGTTGTTCAGGTATATTTGTTTGTTCTGTTTTCTTCGTTGTATATTTCGATTTCATGATTAGTGTCTTTAATATGCAGTTCTATAATTTCTCACATCTCCGGGTATGTGTAAAAATAAAGAATTTTTTGTTTCTTTATTTTAAGTTATTTGCATGGTTGTCATGTGAAAGTTCATGTTAATAGAATTAATTGAGAGAAGAATACTTGTTTTATGTTGTTTGACATTTGAAATTGTGTTAAAGTTAGAAGATATTTTTGTTCTAGTTAACATCAAAGATATACTAATAATTTGGAGAAAAAAATAGTATTCTTTTCTATGGAATTATCACTTTAATGTATATAGATCACAAATTTGATATTATGTCAATTTTTAAGATTCTTTACGCTATTATCCTAATTATTTCTAATTATTTATCTTCTTTGATAGTTTTTACTATGTCGAATTTGTCAAAGCTTGAGTTCTTGGCACTTGATATTTCTGGAAAGAATTACCTATCATGGGTTCTCGATGCTGAGATTCACTAGCCGCTAACCTTGGTGACACCATTACTCGGGGTAATGAGGCATCAAGACAGGACAAAGCGAAGGTCATGGTTTTCCTTCGTCATCATTTGGATGAAGGTTTGAAGGTTGAATATTTGACAGTGAAAGATCCACTTGAATTGTGGACTGGCCTGAAGGAAAGGTATGATCACCTTAAGGCTACGGTATTGCCAAGGGCTCGATATGAGTGGATGCACTTACGGTTGCAAGATTTTAAAACCGTAAGTTAGTATAACTCTATTGTATTTCGAATAAATTCCTAATTGAAATTATGTGGGGATGTTATGAATGATGAGGATTTGTTGAAAAAGACTCTTACGACTTTTCATGCCTCAATATGGTATTACAGCAGCAATACCGTGAAAGGGGTTTTAAATAGTATTCTGAATTGATATCATGTCTTCTGGTGGCTGAGCAACATAATACCCTTTTGCTGAAAAATCATGAAGTCCGTCCCACAGGCACTACTAAAAAACGGCTCATTTCCGACCGAAATATTCCGACGAAAAAAAGTAGTCGGAAATTTCCGACGGAATCGGTCGGAAAATGCATAAAAATATATTTTTTAATTTTTAATAATAGTTACGACTAATATCCCGTCTATATCCATCGTAAATTTTGGCGGAGAATTTCGCGTCACTGTTAGCGACCAATTCGGTCGAAAATAATTAAAAAAAATTTTAAAAATAATAATAAGTAGAGACCGATTCGGTCGGAATTTTTTAGTAAAACGAGGGTTGACTACTTTGACCAAATTTCCGACCGAATCGGTCAGAAAGTTTTTTTTAAATACCCTCCAGCGACCCCATTCTTTTCCTTCCCCTCTTTTCTTCCTTCTCTCTTCTCTCTCTCTCTCACTCAAACTTCCCCCCACCCAAATCCGCCGCAGCCATCAACTAGGAGGACTCGCCGGCGCCGCCGCCCAGCTGCAGGTCCGTCGATGACCCTCCACTGCCAGGTAAGTTTCCCCCATCCTCCTTTCTTATTTTTTTTAAGAAATACACTGATTTTGTTTAATTGCTCCTAGTTTGGTTTGAAAAAATTGATTGGTGTTAGCTAAAGTAAATCTATGACTATTGTTAGTAGTTAAATTAAAGTTCTTTGTTGGTAATTTATAGTTATATGGTAAAGTTATATGTTGGTAATTTAGGGTTATATGTTAAACTTATATGTTAAAATTATATGTTGGTAACTTAGAGTCATATATTGCTAAATTAAATTTATATGTTGGTAAATTACATACTAATTTGGGGATAACATTACTAAGTTGGGGATAATTTTACTAAATAATTTTGCTAACTAATTTGTAAAGTTGTTACATATATAGCAATTCATCTCATTTGATTATATTAGGGAGGGTACTAATTTTAAGAGGAGAAAGTATGAAGAATGTTTTAAAACTCTTAGTGCTAGTTGACTACTTTTGACAGTATGTCTTACTCCTAACTTTTTTAATATCTTTTGACTTTCATGGAATTAAGCTTAACTGAAATCTATTATCAATTTCATCCATTAAATTATTAAATTGTTGTTGTAGATTAATTGATTTTGTTTTTGCATAATTTTATTGTAGATCCTAAATATTTGAATTTATTTGATGTTTATTAATTATATATATGTTAACTTTAATGCAGGTTTTTGCCATCCTTTCAGTCTAAACATTTGGTTGTGGATTCTATGAAGCTGTCACGCCCCCAACCTCGGAAGGCGCGACCGGCGCTTAATCGAGTGACCCCAACTAAGCAAGCCTTATCAAACACTACCTACCCAACTCCATACGAATAGGGGGACCATGCTTTCATTTATTCAACAAAGGAGGGTAGCATATTCAACATTTTTAGTTCATTTTAGACCACAATAATTAACTGTAGATAAGTTAGTTTCCAAGGTTCCCTTAGAGTTACAACTCGTAGGCAACGTAAGTTTAGAATTACAACATGGATAGCACGCCCATTCAATCCCCACACATGACCCACATATATGTCTAAGGAGCCTCTAAGGATACAAAAATAAATGTGACAACGCCGGCAACAAGGCCCCGGCTATACCTCAAAAGTGAAAGTCCAAAATAAGAAGACGTGCAATATAGCCCCTTGAAGGAGAAAGGGGCTCACCAAGATCTTTGAGAAGGAGAATGCTCCGCTACACACGATCGGCACTATCCGCTATGGAGCCACCTACATTCATTTAAAAATATAACGCCCCCGGCAAAAGGGGCGTTAGTACCATGGAATAGTACTAGTATGTATAACTAAACACCATTTTACTAGAAAGAACTACCAAGCAATGACAAGTAAATCACATAGGCGAATAAAAAATGCAAATCATAGAATCATTCACATAATTCCCATAACTTAGTTTGGGGCATTTCTTTCATACGTCCATCACTGTTCTCAATACCACCGCCATCTTGAGCGGAGTCCGATCACGACCCGACCGGCTAGGTTGCCTCATTTGAGACATATATCTCAATCACTATTTTATTTCCTTTATCCGGAGTTCAATATCCGCACATTACCACCATGTGTGCGGCATGGTGTCCGATCACGACCCGATCGGCTAGGCCGCCTTATTTAGGCGTTGTTCCTTTCTCATTAGTCATCACATATGATTCTTTATTTCACATATATCATATCAATTCCTTGGCACTTAGGGCCACCATTATCACCTCGTTTTCCATT